TATCATTCATTAATTTAATGGAAGTAACATTTCTATTTATTTATCTCTGAGTTAAAAGTTAAATTCTTCAATTATGACTAAATAAATATATATGTGTGACAATATTATACTATGATGGGTGTATCTTCATTAATAAACTAAAAGGTGATAAGTCTAAGACATTAAAAAGTGACTAACTTGTTCTTTTATGGTGTGCAGGTTTGTATTTTGTTGTTCCGAAGTATTTCGTTGCAAGAATGCTTCTTCTTGTCCCGATGGCATCCTGTAATACTTTTACATTCTGCACGCACTTCTTTTATTCTGTAAACATTAAATTACATGATTAAATATTGTTTGAAATAACATTTTTAAAATCTATTTGAATACAGCAAAAATATTAAAAACAAAACGCCTATAACAACCTTTGATCTATAGATCGCATTTTCACGTATTAAAATAGTTTAAGGAGAATATATTAAATACGTTAAGCAATTAGTGTATAGGATGCTAATATAAAACACAAAAACGTACATACTCTGAATAAAAATATTTTTTAATGGATCCTTTAAGGATAAAGTCCCTATAATTCAAACAGGATAGTGATTAAAAGATTGAGCACTTAATATTATGGAATACCCTATTTATGGAAATAATTAATAGAATAAAAAAAATTGCACACTTTCATAAAGCCTTTTTACACATCAATAATGTCTTACTAAAAATAATTTTTACCATTACTTTTAATCTTTTATATTGAATTTTATATGATTAAAAAATGTTGGTATTTTAAGATAAACACATTTTTAANACTTTCATAAAGCATTTTTATACATCAATAATGTCTTACTAAAAATAATTTTTACCATTACTTTTAATCTTTTATATTGAATTTTATAATGATCAAAAAATGTTGGTATTTTAAGATAAACACATTTTTAATTTATTTTAGTTTAGGCAGTTTTAAAGGACAATATCAAAAATTTTCCCATTATCAGACGAATAATTCCCGAGAAAATAATTCAAATTATGACTGCCTTAAAGTACGTGAAAATCCGATCATTAGATTAAAGGATATTCAGCTACATATTTTTTATTTTTCCAACTCTACGTAAAAATTAGACGAAATTAGACAAAGAGTGTTCTCAACGCGTAAACTAGACTGAAAGGGTTAGGAAAAGAGTATGATTCATGCGTTCATAGTCTATAAAGAATAACAGCTAATGCTCAAACTTCTTTGGAAAAGGAAACACTTATAGTTTTATTTTCTAAAAAGGGTTTAACGGTTAAGAATATAATCTTAAAAAAAAAATCTTAAAGCGAGTTCGAACAAGATTATTTCTCCATAAAAAATATTCAAATTTCTGAAATAGAGACGTCAGTGTTTTGTTTTAAAAATCTAACATGAAGAAAATAAGGGATTTTGTGACTGAACGAAATCTAAAAAAAAAGATTGCTAAAACGAGTTCAAACAAGATTATTTCTAAATAAAAAATATTAAAATTTCTGAAATAGAGATGTCAATGTTTTGTTTTAAAGATCTAACATGAAGAAAATAAGGGATTTGGTGAAGGAACATAATCTAAAAAAAAAGCAATGTTAAAACGAGTTCAAGCAAGTTTATTTCTCCATAAAAAATATTCAAATTTCTGAAATAGAGACGTCAATATTTTGTTTTAAAGACCTAACATGAAGAAAATAAGAGATTTTGTGACGGAAGGAGTCTTTACGAAGAGATGTTCATGCATAATGAAATTTTTACCCATTTAAAAATGCTTGTTTTTTTATCCAAGTCTTCTTGATGGTCCCATCAAAAAATTTGATGGTTTATGTTGGTTTCCGTGAGATTCATGATGGTCCAACATCATTTGATGGTTACCATCAACCAACATTTTCCATCACGCGTTCATGGTTTTTGATACGCCAACAAACTTCCATCATTCCATGATTCTACTCTAGTACTATGATGGTTAACCATCAATAGAAGTTTGATTTTCATGGACCAACAATCCATGATGGTTCCAACTATACATTTCCATGATGGTTTAATTGGAATTCTTGTTGGTACTCAGGAATATACCATCAAAACAATCTGGATTTTTTAATGTTGGACCATCATAAATCAGTCCGAATTCCTACATCGGGGAGATAATTGTTCATGTTCATGATCGTTTGTACATTTGATTTCTATGATAGAAACTATGATGGAAATTTAAGACGGGACAACATGAATAAACCACCCCAACAAGTTACTATTCTTACGTTAGGCAATCATAAATCAGTCCGACTGCATTGTGGTGATCTTTGTGGCAGAATCGCAGAGACACGGCGACATTGTCGCAGAACGTTACAGTGTTCTGGCGGAAAGATTTTTCTTTTAAAAAGTAAAAAAAAAATTACTTTTCTTTTCTACAGAAATGTACGTGTAATATTTGAATCATGTATTCACATAACCACTTTTCGACATGCTCAATTTCTGCCGATAGTATCGTGAATCGATGTAATATTTCGATTGTATTTTCGGCAGTTATTGATATTGATTTTCACAGGGATTTTAAATATCCCGATAAATTTGAAACAATATGGAAAATTCGAATCGTGCATTTAAGTATTTACTTTTTTTATTCTGATATTTTTTTTTAATGATATTATTCATTACAACAACCTAATCTCGAAACGGAACACACATTTGAGGAATCCGATTCGAGCGTGATTTCGTCGTCGAACATTTTTTCGGTAATTACTACTACGGATTTCATGAATTTTAATTATTTTTTTATTGTGATGATTAATTACAAAATGCAAAGAAGGAAATAAGTTGTGCGCCCCTCCCAAAGAAATGCGAGAATATCACCCATAATACTAGAATAAAAAATTATTACATGTTCAATTAAAGAAAATAATAGTTTTTTCCCCTTTTTTTTGTAAACACAGCACTTTTGTCATTTTAAATTAGTAACATATATGTTTGTTATTATAAAAGTATCATGCAGAAAGATATTAGTGCTAGAGAGTTTTGTCGCAGACAGCTCTAAAAAATTCTGCCACAAGGGTGGTGATGGTCACCATCAAAAAATAAAATGGTTCATGATGGAATTATTGATGGTTGCTATAAAAAATATGTTGGCCCATCAATGGAAAGCCATAAAAAATTTTGACTTAGGTAACATAAATTTATCCAGTATAACTTTTAAATAACGCTGTTTGTGCCATATATCCTCTCCAGATTCTTCTAAATAACTTCTTTCTCTTTTTAATCTTTTTTAATGCTTTTGCTATTAAAGAAATCGGTTTTGCCGGGAAAAGATTTTTATTAACTCCTCTTCCAATTTGTAGTTCATGATGAAACTATTGTGTTTAATGGAGGATAAAACCCAATCCGTAATTAATTACGTAACTAATTTAGTTCAGGAATTTGCTCTTCTCATTTTGCAATTATCTTCATTTTTAATTAAATGTTTTGCTGCTTCGACATAATGAAAAACATATTTCATCAACTCAAATTAAAATGTTTCATTTGTTTATTTCGGAAAAATTTAGAAATGTAATGAATGATAATAACTACCTTAATTTAATGGAATTAAGAAGAGTTGAAAAATAGTAAAAATGAGGAATTTTCGAACAATTATTAAGTTTCGAAAAATGTACATTTTTCACACTAGCCTGATTAATGATACCAACTAAAAGCAGGCATGACCAAAAATAATGGGCCACAGTTGGCCACGAAAATTTACGTAAATGTGTTTTTTAAAAACCTTGTTTTTTTTCAGTGCAATCAAATAAAATCTTAATTAATGTTTAATATAACCAGAATTAATTTTTCTAACAATAATTGCTGGGATATGTTATTAACTTTACTTTTAATAACTAAATTAAAAAATAACAAATAGCAGTATATATCATAAGCAGTATCAAATCACTATTAATATAATCATTCAAATCATTAAAGCATACAACTCTAACGCATTTTTGAAACAAGCAATATTGCAAAGATACACTATTAATTTCAACTAAACAAAAATTTTTTTTTGATCAAAGAGCAGATTCTATTATAAAAATCCAAAACCATTATAGATTTTATAGCTAGAGATGCACAATGGGCTATTGGCGACTGTCTGGGAAGCATCCCTGAGGATGATCCGAAGACATGTCATCACAATTTTGAATCTCTGCAGAGGGGATGGCTCCTCGGCTTTGGTAGCCTGACGACCTGAGCGCGAAGTCAAGCATTTTACGGTAGAACAGTTCAACGAGGACCCATACAGCACATCCTTGGTCCCTTCGTAGACTTATCCAAGTTCAGGGGTGATTGTGAGCCCATGTCAAAATTCCGGAAAATTTCTTGAGTTCAAAAAAAAAAAAGACAGTTTAAATTGAAAAAAATTTAAACAAGGTTTTTCTTCTCCTTATTCTCAATATTTCTTAGTTTACTTAAAATATATTTAAAATTTTACACATACCTATGACATTTACACATACCTATGATGACCTGGAGAAGTAATTAAAATTTACAAATATGTCTTTCTTTCTTGAGTTTATGATTATAACAACTATTTACTGATAAAAAATGAATATTAATCATGAATATAAGCTTATAAAGTATCTCTCTGGCTCTCCCTTACAAACAAATAAAATAAACTGTGTTTTTAAGTTCCACCTTTGAAAATTTGATTTCCGGAAACTTCTGTGATCAATGAATTTTTGAAACATCTGGACCTTCGATCTCCGGAATCTTCCGGATCACTGTTAGCGAAAATTCCGGAAATCCGGATTTTTTCCGGAGCACAATCAGCCCTGCAAGTTGTTATTCACCCGCACAATGACTGCAGCGAGTGATGCTTGACTTCGGTGTTCTACTGGGGACTGAGTCTTAACGATTAGTCCACTGCGGGACAAATTGTAAATACGAAGGAGCTCATCAACAATATGTAAGATGTGTGCGCTCACTTAAATTATTAAGTGTTAAATCCGAAATGATAAGCGAAATGATGTCTGACAAAACTAATGGCAACTTTTTCATAAAAACCGGCATGATTCAGCAGGAACAAATGACATCTACATAAGAACGAAACACAGAGATGTAGAGCCAAACTTTATTTTGCTGCCTGTTAGCAGGGATTGTTGAGCTGATGCAAATTATACTTTGGTAGAAACCCATCAGAGCTCCCTTGGCATCGGGCTTATAAGGAGAGGTTTTCGTGGTTCTCTCCTCCATTTTTGCGCAAATGCTGATTAGTTTCAACAGGTGTTTTCTTGTCTTCTAAATTAATAGATTAAATTAATTCTAGATTAAAGGTTAAGAAGTTGAAAATAAAAAAAAAAGT